CCCCAAAACCCCAAAACCCCAAAACCCCTCAAGGAGCTAAAACGTGGAACTCAGCAGGAAAATTTAAATATTATTTTATAAAAATGGGTTGCTGCTTTGGAACAGAAAAGGATTCGTACGGCAGGAAGGCTAATGGTGAGACTAAGAGGGTTAATGGGATAAGTGGGATTGAGGGGTTGTAAGGGGAGAAGTGGGGGTTAATTGTGGGATTTAGATATGAGGAATGCGTTGATAAAGCTAGATGGTGAGCCTGATGGTTTGCCAGAAGAGGATGATTGGAGAAATTTGGGAGTAGAAGAGGAGAAAAATAAAGAGGATTGTAAGTTTTTGGAATGAAAACTGAATAAATCTGGTAGAAAATTTCAGAATTTGAGGGAATATGAGGATTAGATTTCTTTTAATATCCCAATCACACAATTTATTTTAAACAGCTTAAAGCAAGAAATATTAGTTTAATTTTTTTTAATAATATACCCATATTTATTTTTCACCTAAATAACATTGCTGTAAATTCCGTGGATCGCAAACCCCAGATTTCTAACTTTGCACTGTTTTGTTTATTGAGTACACCGTCAAAATTTTTCCTATAAAACCTCTTCGAATTCAATTCATGAATTCCTTCAAACTGCAACGATATAAGTTAAAAATCCGTATCAGCTAGTACGGTGTAGAATAATTTAATGATTTCGGAAAATATTGATGTTAAAACACACTTTTGGTTCACCTATTATTAACCTTAATCCTTGCCAAAGTTCATGCAAACTATTGATCCTGAAGTTTGAAGAGAGAGATCTGGTGCCTAATAATTTAAGTTTAACCTGGGGGTTAAGAAAATTGATAGCCTTAAAGTGAGGGAATTTCTGGGATAAATTGTGAATGTGTGGATATTTTTAAGTTGCGGAAGTTTTTACAACGATTTATTTAAAAATGCCATCCCTTAACCAAATCCTTCAAATCTACCCTTCCTCCCCTACACCCTCCATCACCCTCACCTTCTCCCTACAGTCGAAGACATCGACGGCCAAGTAGACCTCCCTCTTCTCCCATACAGACCCTCCAACAAAAGAGTATCCCCCACAATTTCCCTCTGCACAGGGTAACTTCCCCCTAACCTATAGGTCACAAGAAATAACTCGAACAATTTTATCCCGTACTGGCTCTTTCAAAATAGTCATGAACAACCGTTTCTTCTTGAAAATCTACAAGATAGTTAATTTGGGACCTAAGAGGATTAGAGGAAATTGGAAGCAGATCTTAGCAGAAGTAAATGACGACCTTGGCTTTTCCTTTATAGCCAATACAGAACTAGAAGTTAGCAAACAGGCTAAGTAGGTCTAGATTTATATCAATAGGGAATTAAGAAAGAAATTTGAAAATTATTTTATGAGCATTGTTTCCAAGACTAGTGAGGACACAGTTAATTTTTAGTGCGAGGGCTTGGAGTTGCATGGAATGCAAATTGGGATCCTAAGATCAAAAAGAATTATAAGATGTTCAAATAGAAGAATGAATGCACATTTCATTAGAAAATTTGACGAGCTTTGTGAAATTGATGAAGAAATTCCAGAAAATCTTCAAACAGATGTAATTCACGAAATAAAAAGAGAAAAATGCGAAACTAATCTCACCGAAAGACTAAAGCTCCTAAAAACCCGTAAAACCCCTCTTCTCACCCTCCTAGAGCTCAAAAGCCTCAAACCCCACCCTCCGCCCTCACCCACCTCCTTCATCTGCGCCCCTCCCCCCAAAGAATCCATGCCATCCTCTTCCAGCTCAGGTACTTCTCCCTAATCCCTCTAGGCACAAAATACCGTAAAGGCATGGCTTGTCCAGACCAGCCCTTGTACACCACAAGATCAATGATGACTTAAATTTAGGTGAAATATTTAGCCTCAGTGTTGCACCCGAGGGCTGGGGTTTTGGGGTTTTGGGGTTTTGGGGTTTTGGGG